CGGTCTAAAATGTCACCAACCCCCGTTCTTAACTCTATTAGTAAAAAATTATTGCAATTATTTTTTTTACATCATGATACAGGTTAACTTAGAAAGGTAAACAGTGGTTTAATTATCGTTGCTGAATCTGTATAAAAATAGTTATTTATTAGAGTCTCAAGTCTCAAGAAGGGAACATGCCAGTTTTTAGAACCATGAAACCTTAGTGTGTTTAAATTAAATTTCACAAACAAAATTGTAACATAAAATATGTGGTTGTCAAATAAACAATAGAAAAAGAGAAACCAAAAAGATAATTGACAATTTTATTGCACCAAAATTCAAAGACAGTGTTCTAATATTTGTTTCTTGACACCTAAGACAACAACAGAAAAAATAAAAAGAAAAATGACACTATATAACCACTCTCAAAATAATAGCTAAAATTATATATATTTTGTATATATATACATTATGTATGTTATATATAAAAATTATATAAATTTTATGCACTTTTTCGACTAGCAAACCTAAATAGTTTCTGGCGCGGGCTAAAAGTGATAATAAACTTTTTGCTTCTCATTGCCCATTTTTTTTTTTAGAAAAAACTTGGATTAACCCTCAAGATCCCCCATTATTAATAATAAACCCCCCAAATCCGCCAGTTCCATTATTGAATTTCTTTATCCCAATTTTGCTTCGGGATGCAGTGAAAATGTCGTCTATTTTACACAGTCACACAGTAAAAGCTGCCATCCAGAACGGCCCCTACGCGGCCCAATTGGGGGATATAGTCGCGTTTCAATGCGTTTACGGAACACCCAGTGGTAAACAAAAAAAAAAAAAGCTGCCATTCCTTTCAAGTTTCACTTTCCAAATAATTGCATCCCCTGAACTGAATTGAAGTATCAATCTTTCAATTCTATCAATTACAGTTACTGCATTTTTTGACTGCCGGCATGAAAGTTCGTCCAGTGAAACCTCACTTTTTCAAACCTATTCAGCCAGGTTTCAAGCACGCTCTGGTTAGTCAAAATTAGCGGGTTTTTAGTAATTATTTCATCTTTCCTATGTATTTATGTATGATATGAATTTATCCCAGGAGAGAGAAACACTAAAATTCAAAAAACATAGTCCAAGCCCCTAGCTTTTGACAATATTTGATTTTTTTTTGTCACTTCTTCTATGTAAATATTTTAGGGGTTTTAACCTACAATTTTTAGCTTTGTTATACTTTTTATTATAGGTTAAAAATACAAAATTTTAGAAGGTGAATTATTACTATTACTATTATTTTTTTTATTTTTAATTTTTTTTTAAAACGAAATCCGAAAAAATATTAATTTTTTTTTTAATTTTTGGGAGATATTTAAAAAAATACGAAAAAGGGAAGTATGGAATTTAAAAAAAAATAAAAAATAAAAGTAAAAGTAGGTGTAATTCTCTTTTAAAAAGTAAAAGAAAGTGGAAAATTAAAAAAAATAAAAGTAAAGTTTTGTGGAAATTTTAAAAAAAATAAAAAGTAAAAGAAAGTTAGAATTAAAAAATAAATATAAATGTAGCTGAAAATTTAAAAAATTTAAAGTAAAATAAAGTAGAATTTTTTAAAAAGAAAAGCAAAAGAAAGTGGATTGTTTTTTTAAGAAAAGTAAAATAAGTGGAATTCTCTTTTAAAAAGTAAAAGAAAGTGGAAAATTAAAAAAAATAAAAGTAAAGAAAGGTGGGAATTTTTTTTATAAAAAAGAAAAGCAAAAGAAAGTGGATTGTTTTTTTAAGAAAAGTAAAATAAGTGGAATTCTCTTTTAAAAAAAAAGTAAAAAAAGTGGGATTTTAAATAAAATAAGAGTAATTAAAGTTGCAATTTAAAAAATAAAAGTAAAGAAAGGTGGGAATTTTTTTTATAAAAAAGAAAAGCAAAATGTAAGTGGGATTTCTTTTAAATAAAAAATAATAAAATAATTAAAAAAAAATCTGAAATTTTTCGAAATTCTCCTATAAATAGAAGAGAAATATTTGAAGAAAGAAAAGAGGGAAGAGGGGAGGAAATTGAGAGAAAACAAATTTTCTTCTTCTATGCTAAAGAGAATTTCTACTAGTTTCATTCTTTCTACCTATTTCTTTCAAAAAAAATAAATATAGCCATTCATTACCTTGTTTAAGACAAAAAAAAACACCTCAAAAACAGGAGCTAAATCACACTAAAAATCAAATCCAAAAGCTTCAAACTTAATTTAAAAGATAGCCCAAAATACTAGCCCGAAGAGGTTGAAGTCGAGTTCGGTTCGAAAGGTTTCCGCTCGTTGCTTCTGATTGTGGTTCGTTTGCACATTAAATTTGATGGTTTTTTGCTCCATATGTATTGAATAAGATCTTCATCTATAAAATGTTCATTCTTTTCTTAACCAATGTTTCCATTATATTTCTTTCACCGTATTTCCTTTTGATTTGTATATTATATTTTGGTTATCTACCAACTTGAAAGATATGAATAAAAAATGAAGGAAGAGCATCAAAAAATAGAATTCGTGAGAGACAGAATGAGTTTCTTTAATGAGATTGTAGTTCATAGGGAAAGATAGGAAGATGTATTCAAAATGGAGAGAGAACGATGTAATAGCTTGGATCCAAATTAAAGGATGTTAAGTCAATAACAAATTTGATACCGACATGGGTGATTAGGTCCATAATAACTAAAATCATATATTTCTTCAATAATAATTCCATATTCATAAATCATGACCTTACAATAATCTCAAAGTAGTTTTAGGAAGAAACATAATCATGAACATTTGTAGTTTGCTTTAAATTGAATACAATCCTTTTAGAATAATCGAGGCGCGCCATGCCAAATAAAATCTCAAAACTCATGGCCCTCATTTAATTAATTTTAATCCTTAGAAATCGAGACGTGCCATTTATTTGAATTTTCCACGGCCCTCGCAAACTTGAAAGTGCGTAGTTGCTTTAGGCGCGCTATTTTTAAAAATTAATTTCCTAAATTCGGGTGTGCATTTCATGTGACCCAAATCCAAATCTCAACAACGTTAGATAAAATGTGTCGTGGACCGCGGATGCATTTCATGTGACGTGGTTCAAGACGTGTTTCAGATGACGTTGAATTTTCCTAAAATTAATTAAAAGCGACTAATAAGTTAAAAAATATACCATAGGTTGAAACATGTTTTAAAATCAGATAATAGGCCAATTGTAATAGTTTAAGAGACCGTACTAGAACCACGGAATCCGGGAATGCCTAACACCTTCTCCCGGGTTAACAAAATTCCTTACTCAGAATTTCTGGTTCGTAAACTTCAAAAGGAAAGTCGATTTTTCCTCGATTTGGGATTTAAAATAAACCGGTGACTTGGGACACCAATTAAAATATTCAAACTGGTGACTCTGAAAAATTAAATTTAATAATCTCATTTCGAATAATGTCACTTTAATTGGAAAAACTCTCTTACACCCCCTCGGGCTGGTAAAAAGGAGGTGTGACAATATGAACATGGAAAAGGTTAAACTTGCCCCTGAACTATGTGAAAAAGTAGATATCCCCTCCATTAATAGTTGGGTTCAATCACACTTTTGCTGTTGGTCTGTTAAAACTAGGCTATATTTGCCCATATTGAAAACTAGGCTATATTTGCCATATTGACTAACAAAACTTTGAGCCGAGTGTTTTTCGGAAATAACCTCTCTACTCCTTCGAGGTAGGGGTAAGGTTTGCATATACACCACCCTCCCATATTCCATTAGTGGGATTTTACTGGATTGTTGTTGTTGTTGACTAACAAAACTGATTAGTATTGTTTGTTGCCGTGTGCCCCAAAGTTAATAACGGAAAAGGTCAAATTTGCCCCTTAGCTATGCGAAATGGCCTAGATATAGCATTTGTGGCTTCAAAATTAACTATCCCTTTTTGTTCCCTCCTCCTTTAAACACCCGCACCCATTTTATTAGAAATGACATCAGGTAGCCACTCTAAAGGGATACTATTTAAGAATTAGCCAGTGCGTCCTAAATTTAAGTTTTACAGTTCAATTTCTTAGGACAAAAATGTTTTGATTTGTATGAAGTTAAGATTTTTAGTTTAAAATTTCAGGACAAAAATAAGTATTGTCTAATCTCTAAATAGCATCCTGAGAATGGCTATCTGTGCTCTTGCCCCCCACCCCTTATTTTAATCTTCTTAACCGACACAAATTGGAGAGATGGCAACAGTGGAACAATGTTCCACCGCAATAGATAAACCATTTTCGTGCGAAACAGATACCGGCTAGGGGATATAGATTATGGATAGCGGGCGACAAGCCGACAATGACCAAATAATTGGGGTTTGATAGCTGAGAGCAGTGTTATCAAAGGCGCGCTTAAGCCCTGAAGCGAGGCTCAAAACGTGTTGAGCACTTCGTCTCACTTAACGGGCGCTTTAATGTTGTCATCAAGGCTCTAATGCATACTTTTCCTTGTCAGTGAGCGTAATGTCGTAATCTCGAAGAAGCGGCACTAAACAATTAATATTTCACTTACTTCAATTTCCTTGTCCATATATTTGGTGCTATATGTGTAAAAGCTCAGGGTAAGAAGTTGATCATCTTTTGTTGCATTGCCCTGTGTCCTCGGCTTTGTGGAGGGCGATCCTGAACCTTTTTGGTGTTCAATGGGTGATGCCAAGCACCGTAAAGGAAATGTTATATAGTTGGGCAGGTTTCCGTAGAAGAAGAAAGCAAAAGGCGTGGAAGTTCGCCCCGTTAGCTCTCATGTGGATAGTTTGGGGGGGAGCGAAATATGAGAGCTTTTGAGGAGATTGAGTCAACTTTTTCACATCTTAAGAATAGTCTTTTATCTTCGATCACTTTTTGGTACACTCATATAGCCCATACTTGTATAAAAGATTGGGCGTCTTTTGTAGAGAATCATGTTCTGATGTAAATTCTATACTTTTTGGTATACTTCCTGTATACGGGAGTTCTCTCCCTTTTGATTAATACAATTTACCTTATCAAAAAAATATTTGGTATTCATGCTTATAGATATTAGTTTTTGACTACACACATATTTGTAGTTTTTCTCCATTTGCGCCTTTCTTCATTAAAGCCTACGCTTTATTTGCGCTTTGCACTTAAAGCCCCAACAGACCTTAGAGCTTTTTTGTGCTTTTCGCCTCTGATAACACTGGCTAAGAGAGTTTTATCGGAATAGCTAGGGGGAGAGGAGATGAGACGAGGGTGGTTGGAGGAAAATCAAGCAACTGTAAAAGTTACCAGCAGTGGTGGTTCTTGGCTGGAAAGAATCAAAGGGCGAGCGGTGTCACCAGACGATCTTTTTAGCAGATTAACTATATCATACAATCAATCTATTACCTTTCCTTTCTCTTGTTCATCAATTTCGAGCGAAGGGTAAGAACAAGAAGTCCTTGTACCATCTTCCTCAGTTCCATCAAATAGAGCAGCTCTCTTGCCATGTACACTTCGAGAATTCACATCCATTGAAAAAGCATGATTGACCGAAACTATTAACGGAGGGCATATATCTAGACCATTTCACATAGTTTAGTGACAAACTTGACCCTTTCTCATTATTACATTTTGGAGACATGGCAATAAACAGTGCTATTCACTCCCATTAGTCAATAAGGACAAATATGACCCATTTTATGACGGCATGGGCATACGATTCATCCCAACTATTAAAAGAGTGCAGACATAGACCATTTCGCATAATTTAGGGACAAATTTGACCCTTTGCCCTTTCTTAGTTGTTTATCTGGGTATTAAAATAGTACAGTATCTTCCATGAACTAAATAAAACAACTTTATTTGGAACAAGGCAACTCTAATTTTGTGTGGTGCTGCAGAAAATTCCTAAAGGTTTTATGAAGTATCTAAAGGGACATGAGCTTGAACATGTAGTACTGAGAAGGGCGGGTAAAAAGTGGCTGGTGAAGGTGAACGACTATCAATTCAAAACGGGTTGGGGAGAGTTTGCGGAGGAGAATGTTTTGCAGCTGGGAGATATGTTGGTGTTCAGACATGAAGGAAACGTGGAGTTTGAGGTTATCATCTTTGATTCAAGTCAATGTGACAGAGAATATGCGGAGTATTTGCAAGAAGAAGAAGAAGCAGCAACACGTACTTTTGGAGAGATTTCCAAGAATTTTGAATTTGAAGGTGAAGTTGTTTAGGTTCTCAACTTCATTTTTTTAGATTTTACATTTCTGTTATTTATGGAAGTTTCCTGATTATTTATTTATGATGCTTGATGCTGATTTAATACTCCCCGTCTCATATTAGTTGTCAAGGTTACTAAAAAGTTTGCCCTATAATACTTGTCAATTTATAAAATCAAGATAGAATTAGTCAATTTTTCCTCATTTTGCCCATAATGTTAATTGTTCTTGAAAGTAAAAAATATTAATAGAGCGCACATTTATTGCATAGAGATAAGGATAAATTAGTCAAAGAAAAAAACACTTATTATTTATGATTCCTTAAGGGGCGTGCAAAATGGAAATATGACAACTAATTAATATGGGACAGAGGGAGTAGTACGAAAAAGTGGAATAGAAAGAGAAACTATAGTGATGAATTCCTTTCATGTTTATACAAGAAAATACTGATTTGTTTTAATTTATTTAGTTTAAGAAATTAGCCAAAATGTGTGGTAGATAGTTAAATGTTGTTCCCTTTTTCTAAATGGAATTTGTCATATTTAATTTCTTGAAGATACAAACAACTACACTTCAATCCCAAGTGGGGATCGACTATATGGATCCTTACCATCCACGTCGTGCCCTTTAAGCCATTCAAGAGCTATCGACGATGTAATAGAAATACCAAGCCTCAACATCAAGTCGTCAGACGAGGATTCTTCACATGCGGAAGCTGCTACTGACAAGCATGCTGGTCATTCTCATTTTATATGCACTATTAGACCATATTGCCTGACATATGGTTACTTGGTAAGTCTTAAAACTCATTAATTTCACGTAAACTCTTCAAGAATCTTCAGGCTAAAGGAAGCATCTGCACTATTTTAATTATTTTTGTCCTTGTTAAGTGAAAATCTGTAGAATATGAACTGTTTAATGATGTGTCCAAATGGTAATACACTTTATCAGTGCCTTCCTCAACAATTTGCAAATAGTCTCTCCAACAAGAAATGCGATTTGTTTATAAGAGATGAAAGACAAAGGTCTTGGAATGTAAAGCTAAGTTCTGATTGCAAAAATCGAGTCTCTATTGGAGATGGCTGGCGTGAATTCATTGCTGATAATTGCTTAAAGGTTGGAGAACGTATAATGTTTGAGGTTGTTAGTGATGGAAAAATGGAGTCTATATGGAAATTTCATGTTGTTACTGACGCAGAAACTCCAAAGCAGAAGTTTCAAGGCAAGTTTTCTCATATCATGTTATACTATTTATATGAAAATATTATGCCACACTTTATGTTCTTGAAGAGTCTTTATGTTCTGCATTTGTTCAAAAAACAACGTTTAACTAAGTAATCTGTGAATGCTTTTCACAATGTTAGTGTGCAACACTTTTGATTTTCGTATATGCTCTTTTTGAGCTACTTGCAGTATCTCTGAAAAGTTCTTGCTCATGTTTTCTAAAAGGCCATTTTAAAGCACTTTACCAAGTAGTGTTGGTAAAGCTATTATCCATATGATCCCAAAATTCCGTTGTTCAGGTTTAAAAAACCAGCTTTGGCCAGGTACCAGTAAACTCTGTTTTTGATTAATCAGGGCGAATATGCAGTTGTTAGTGAGGCTTTTTCCTTGTTGTTTCTATCGCTTTCATTTTTTATAATCAATCTTCAGTGGTAAATACTTGTGTAAAACAATCTCCAGATTTTAGGGATCTTCACTACTATCAAGAGTTGAGTTAGCCCTTCCGAAATTATTTGTCATCTCTGTTGCCCCCTCGAAATTTATCTTCTTTCTGAATTATGACTTTAACAAGTATTTTTCCCTTCAGCTTAATGTTCTATCGTTGATTTTAAATTCTTTCTTTAGTTACAGTTCTGATGGGTTTTTATTTATTTAAAAACTAGATTTGAGAGCAAATGCATCACTTCAGCCCGAAGGAAAGAAGCCTGATTTGGATGCTAATAGATATTCCGCTCGAGGTATGAATTTCAAGAATGAAGTCTTGTAGCTGTATCAAGTACCTCTTTCCTTTTCATTTCTCTGATTCTAATGTTTCTTCTTTCTTTTCTTTTTCATGTATTCTTTTTTTAAATGAAGAACAGGCCTCAGGATTGAGACGTCAGATATGACTGCTCCAAAAGCACAAGTACATGCTTCAACATCTGCTAATAATGCTAACCCTCATTTTATTTCTACTATTAAGCCTTATTCCATCAACAAACCTCGTCTGGTAAGCAATTTGAAATAACTTTAATTAAGCCCTTAATAGTTTAAATCTTCAGTAAAAGTTTCTCTTTTTTTGTGATAACGCGCATTGATCTGCATATTGGGATACAACTTGAGCAGTATCTTCCAGCGGATTTTGCAAAATCAAATGGCTTGATGAATAGACGTTGTGAGATGATTCTCACAGATGAGAAACAGAGATCATGGTCGGTGCAGCTCGGACTAACAGGACATCACGTTGCGATTACCAGGGGATGGAAAAAATTCGTGAAAGCAAATGATGTCCAAGTAGGAGATACTTTTAAGTTTGAACTCATCAACAACGGAACAATACCTATAGCATACTTCCATTGTGAGTATTTCGTTACTTCCCTCTGTTTTTGTGGTCTTCCTCTGTGTTATTCATGTTTTTGTTTTTCTTCTTTGTCCCTCAGGCTTTTAGAATATAGGAGAGAGTGGAATCATAAACAAAATTTTTATGGTAGTGATATGAAAATATTATGCCACGCTTCGGAAGAGTTATGGATTTTTGGAATGAGTTATATAACTTTACTTTTTACATTAAACGACTCTCGAAAGGTTTTAAATAGTCTGGATGTATTGCTTGACTTTTTTTGAGGTCACCCTTTAAATTCTGTCCCGGTTAGTCTAGTGGCTTCAAAAAGGCCATTTCTGCAAATGCCCCTACAAAATCCCCCCCCCCTCCCCAAAAAAAGAAAATCTAGCCTAGACTTCTATTATTATGTAGTGGTTGTATGAAATCAAGTCTACAAAATTTTATATCAAGAGAGTCTGTTGTGCTAAAAGAAAAATTTCAGGTAAATATTCTGGATAGGATACCAAGCAAAGCCCTTGACAAGTTAGTGAAGCAGTTGTGATGGGCAAGGGGAAAGGAGCATTGAAGGATATGTTTTTTTTGGATTTACTACTTAGTTGCCTAATATCAACAGAGGGCGTACCTTGTTCTGCTTTTTATTTTTCTATTTTTTTTGTTTGTTGCTTTAAGAAAAGGTAAAAGGATAAAAAGCTTACCACCTCCACTATACTTAATATCTTGATTTTACCCTACATATATATTGGATTAATTCATATCCTTGCCGCTAGCAAATTATCTTGTATTTGCCTTCAACTTTAATGGTGCTTCAACTTGAAGTATAACGGAGAGTAATTTCAAATTATAGTAAATAATAGAGGGTTAAATTTGAATTTCTTTTAAGTATTTTGATACGTGAAATTTGTCTAATGTACGCTGGAGTTCCATTAAAGATAAGGGGAAACACGAGATAATTTACTAATGGCAAGATTATGAATGACGTGAAAGTATATGAGGATAAAATTGAGATATTAAGTATAAGAAGGTGTAAATTTAGATTGTTTCCTTTAAAAAATTGTAGGTAAGCAATAGCCAAACTCAACAAAGGAATATAATCAAACAGGTTTATTTGCAACTACTAGGAGATTTGCCTAAAGTTTCATGGAAAGGTTTAATGTATCAGAATCAAACACGACAAAAAGTAGTCTTCACAATGTGGCTACAAGTTCAGGGAAGATTGCTAACTGTTGATAGAATGAAGAACTCGACATGCAAGTGGAAGACACATGTTGCTTTTGCAATCAAACTCAATAAACGAGAGATCATATAATTGCAGAATGTGCATTTGATCGAAGCTTATGGTCCAGACTCATGCAATGGTTATAGATACAACAACCTTCCACAACATTGTGGACTGACTGGCATCACTGGATTGTAATGAAAACAAATGGGTGATCTCAGGTTGCTCAAATTAGTGTACGCAGAATATACACAGTGTGGATTGAGAGGAATGCAAGGATCTTTGAGAAACAAACAACTACATGGGGTGTCCTTGCCAGTAGAGTGGTATGCATGTGCAATATTAGAGCTGAGGATTATACTCGTGTCCTTACAAAATGCAAATAATGAAGAGCTAGCATCGTGAGTTATATAAATGAGGTTAGGAGGCCATGAAGATTAGATTGAGATGTTTTTTTTCCAGTTTGGAAATAGGTCGTGGTGATCTATTGCTTGTAAATATTTACATTGATAGTTAATACAAAGATGTTTAATTACCAAAAAAAATTTTATAGGTAAATATTCTAGTAAGGTGCATCATAAGCCACTGACAAGATAGCAGTTGGTTATGGGCAAGAAAATTAGCGCGTCACCGAATGGCAAGGCTCGCTAGTTTTCTAGAGTACAATATTTCATTTTTCTTAGTTGATACATGGAATGCAAATTAGTCTTTTTTAATGTATACTTCCTTAAATTAGAAATCTCTACTATCACAAATAAGATGCTAATAAAAAAAGTCAGTTATATATTGAAAAATAAAATTATTCATATTAGTTCACCATTGAAGGAATGGTGAAATACGAAATACCTAAAGGAAAAAGCAATTAGTCCAACAAACTACGTCACGTATTTTCACTATTACCATAAATGTTTTTTGAGTAGTTTGTTTTGAGTTTTGCTTAATAACTAGGAAATTCGTCCGCGCTTTGCGCAATTTTTAAAAAATAAGTGAATTTGCAAAATGACTATTATTTTTTTGTGAATTTAGTCTAAACAGAAGAGATGGAAAATTTTGTATATATGCATACCAAACTTGAATTCTATGAATTGATTAAATAACAAATAGTATTGATTTTTCATAAGAATTAGAGCAGTTCACATTGATGTTAGACAATCCATATTTTAACATATAATCTTAGAAGTAATTAATTGTCGCTATATAATTTATACTTAATATATTTGTATGTATATTAAAAATTGATTTATTTCCATTTAGATTAAATTTCTTGTTTTTTCTAAAAAAATTGAAAAATAAACTAAATCACCATGAATAAACATGAAATAGCAAGAGAAAATATACCTTCTCTTTTACAGAAAATTTACTAAAATGTCTTTATCCATAGTGTGGAATAAGTTCCACCATTAAAAATTACTACTCTGCTTTGTTACCTATCGATGGAAATCACCATAATATACAAAAGGAAATGTAAATCTTATCCAATTTAAAATACCCACAAAATTATACACAAAAAAGAAGTACAATTTGCAAAAGATTAGTTACCAATTTGTTCAAATACAAGACACAAAATATTCAAGAAATATTATAATACACAAGTAGAGGTATCTCGATTAGATTTTATATCTAAGGACATATAGTGATTACAATGCTAAAAGAAAATAAAAAAAAGTTCTCGTTATGTTGAGATGATGACCTTTCATTGACATATTGCACTCCATGGCAGTTGGCAGAGGAAGATCACAATTTGTAAGAATAAATACATGTGAGCAGTTTGTATGCATTCCTGTTAAACAACCACAAATATTAGGATATAGTATCAATAAGGTGAATAACAAAAGTTACAATGAACTTTTTGCTCACCTCTTCATATCGAACACCTCCACATTTAGCACAGATGAAGATCTGAAAATATTGAAAAGACACAAAACTTTAAAAAGGAAGAATATACAAAGGACAAAACCCATTAAAACCATAATAACTATGGTGTAACAGAAAACATAATAAAGAAATAGGGGAAAACAAACGCTCAACATTAATCTTTCTTTAATAGACATTGTAACCTTTAATAAGTTGGATTGAATGAAACTAATAAAAGAAAAGCAAAAGATTCAAAAAAAGGATAAAAAAGATAGGTGTGTTTCTTGGCTAAAGAGATATGCCACATCATCTTTTCTAATCCCTCTTTTATATATATATAGATAGATAGATGAATGAAATATTGTCCTCTTTATTTATTTATTTATTTATTTATAATCTATTGAAATAATATCAAAAGTTATTAAGTTTTACCAAAAATTTTCTGTCTAACAAAATATTTTTTCTTTCACTTTTAGATTAAAACTTAAATTAAAGAAAATAAAAAAAAAATGTCCTTAAAGAATTGTGGACCGGCCCGTGGCCCACATAGGACTGAGTTGAAATTTTAAGGCCCATAAAAATGATGGAACGACCCGGACCCAGCCCGTCAAATACCAAGGCCTGCATAGACTAACCCACATTGACTGGTTTGCCCATTACTAATGAAAAACCCGCCGGTTCCCAGTTCCCACGCCTGTAAATATATAGTAATATTTATGCTAATGTTGTATTGTTTTTCTTTCTCCCAATTTACACAGTCCCACAGTAAAAGCTGACATTCCTTTCAAGTTTCAGTTACCAAATAATTGCATCCTCTGAACTGAATTGAAGTATCAATCTTTCAATTCTATCAATTACAAAGTAGAAAAAGATAGTTAACTGCATTTTTTGACAGCTGGCTATGAAAGTCCGTCCAGCGAAGCCTCACTTTTTCAAGCCTATTCAACCAGGCTTCAAGCGCGCTCTGGTGAGTCAAAATTAACCGTGTTTTAGTAATTATTTCATCTTTGCTTCTATATTTATATACTATATGATATGGAGTTAACAATTCGTCCCAGAAAAGAAAAACACTAAAATTCAAAAACCATAGTCCATATGAACATGCAAAAAGGTTAAATTTGCTCTTGAACTATGCAAAAAGGTCGACATATACCCTACGTTGATAGTTGGGGTCAATCATGCCTTTACTGTTAGTTTGTTACAAAACTGGGCTATATTTAGCCTCAATGGCTAACAACAAACAACAACAACCACCTAAAATAATCCCACACGTGGAGTCTGGGGAGGGTAGTGTGTACGCAGACCTTACCCCTACCCTGGGGTAGAGTGACTGTTTTCGATAGACCCTCGGCATCCCTCCCTCCAAGAACTCCCCACCTTGCTCTTGGGGTGACTCGATGGCTAACTGAACTGATTAGTTTGCTGTCACGTGTCCAAATTTTAATAACAAGAAAAGGGTCAAATCTTGCCCGAGAAATGTGCAAAATGGCCTAGCTATGACATTCCTGGCTTAAAAATTAACTATTCCTTTTTATCCTCTGCGCCTTTAAACACTCCCACCTATTTTAATCTTCTTAACCGACGAACAACCACAAATTGGAGATATGGCAACAGTGAAACAATGTTCCACTGCAACAGATAATTAAACCATTCTCGGGCGAAGGGATAAGGAATCTTGGCAGTGGGCGAAAATGACCAAATAATTGGGGTTTGATAGCCGAGAGGGTTCTATCGGAGTAGCCAAGGGGAGAGGAGATGAGACGAGACGAGGGTCGTCATTGGAAATTCAGGCAACTGTAAAAGTTAATGGTAGCAGTGTTGTCAAAGGCGCACTTAAGCCTTGATGCGAGGTGCAAAACATGTTAAGTGCTTTGCCTCGCCTAGTGGGCACTTGTCGTCATCAAGGTGGAAAGAAGACATACTTTCTTTGCCAAATGAGCTTAATCCTGAGGAGGTGACATTAAACAATTGATATTTCACTGTATCGTTAATATTTTTCAGCTTCTTTGCGCCTATATTTGTTATTCGTACTGTAAACTTGTAATTATTTGTCTTGGACTACACATGCATATTTGTATTTTTTTCTCCATTTACACCTTTATTAATTAAAACCACGCTTTATTTGCGCTTTGTGCTTAAAGCCCCAACAAACCTTAGAGCTTGTTTGCACTAGTAGTGGTGGTTCTCAGCTGTAATGGATCTGAAAATTCACTGGGCTGGGTCTGCATATTTTCAATCGGAAAGATACTTGATACGAAAAGCAGCACATCCCAAGGTCCACCACATGGGTGGTGTCAGTGTCCACCACAAGGGTGGTGTCAGTGGACGATCTTTTTAGCAGACTAACCATATCATGCCATCAATCTATTACCATCTCATTCTCTTGTTCATCAATTTCGTGCGAAGGGTGTGGTGAAGAAGTCCTTATACCTTCCTCAATTCCATGAAAAGAGCAGCTCTCTTGCCACGGTTCCTTCGAGAATTCATATCTACCGGCATGATTGAACGAAACTATTAACGGAGGCAATAGCTAGACCATTTCGCTTAGTTCAGGGCAAGTTTGACCCGTCTCTCCTTATTAAGTTTTGGACACGTGGCACTAAACTGTGCTAATCAATTTCATTAGTCAATAAGGGCAAATATTACCCATTTTTGTTACGGCAAGGGCGTATGATTGACCCCGATTATTACCAAAGGCAGACATAGACTATTTCTCATAGTTCATGGGTAAATTTGACCCTTGCCCTTTTTAATTGTTTATCTGGGTAGAAAAATAGTACTGTTTCACATGCTAAACAAAACAGCTTGATGGTTCCTAACAAGACAACTCTAAGTTTATGTTGTACTGCAGAAAATTCCTAAAGGTTTTCTGAAGTATCTAAAGGGTCATGAGCATGAACATGCAGTACTGAAAAGGGGTAGTAAGAAGTGGCTGGTGAAGCTGAATGGCCAGCGACTGGAAGAGGGTTGGGAAAAGTTTGCAGAAGAGCATGATTTACGGTTAGGAGATTTATTGATTTTCAGACATGAAGGAGAGATGGAGTTTGAGGTTACCATCTTTGATTCAAGTCACTGTGACAGAGAGTATGCGGAGTATCTGCAAGACGAAGAAGAAGCACATATTGTTAAAGATCCTTCCAAGAAATTTGAAATCAAAGGTGATTTCTTTAGAACCCATTAGCTTAAACTTGATGAATTTGCAACTTAATTCCCTTAATCTTAACATAACATTCAATCTGTTTAGATTAAAAATTAGCTCAAAGATGGGGTGGATGTTTGTATCTTATTCATGTTCTGATCGTAATCATTTTGTCATATTTAATTTATTGATATGGGTTTATCTACAATTGACAATGCAAGACTTTTCCCCATGCAGAAGCTGCTCCTCAAAACCCTATTGGTCAATCTCATGTTGTATGCACAGTTAGATCCTATTGCTTTTCGAAAGGTTACTTTGTAAGTCTCAAAATTCATTTCACCCTAACCCTTCAAGAATCTTCGGGCTAAAGGAGACTTATGCACCATTTTATTTTTCTCCCCCTTGGTTTATTGGCATTATTTACTGCAAAAATATGAAGCATATGATATGTTTGATGAAATTTGCAAATTGTTATAAACTATTTCAGCGCCTTCCTGTAAAATTTACAAAGGCAAACGGCTTCAGAAACAAGAAATATGGTTTGATTATTAGAGATGAAAGACAAAGGTCATGGAATTTAAAGCTATATACCTCCTATTCTCAAGTCTATATTGGAGGTAAGTGGGGTGAATTCCGTGATGCAAATGACATAAAGGTTGGAGATCGTATAATGTTTAAGGTTGTTGCTAATGGAGAAAGACCAATATGGAAATTCCATAGTAAGTTTTCTCATTTAAGCTATCTCTTAATTTTCAACAATCTTTTTACTTTGTTATATATACCATAACACCGTATTACATCTTCAATCAAATTATTTAGCACCCGTTTGGCCATAAATTTTGGGTATATTTTTTCAATTTTTTTTTTTTTGAAAACATGATCAATTTTTGAAAATTTTTTTGAAATAGTTTCTCAAGTTAAACCAGTTTTTGGGTGAAATTTTTTCTTCCACTCACAAAACTTCATCTTTTTTTCAAATAAAATGCATGTCCAAACACAACTTCAACTTCCAAAAATTATTTTTCAGCACAACTTCAAAAACTTTTTTTTCAAGTTTCAACCAAATTTATGTCCAAACGCTATCTTAGTGTTTGATTGTCCAAACTCCAAACTGTAAAACATGATTCTCATATCAACTACACTTCTAAAAATTTACCCAACCAAACAGTTGGAAATTTGATTTCAAATGGTAAAGATCTTTAGAGTCACATTAGAGATGCAGTGTAGTCCTCAACCTTTCGGGAGACATATTGATGACATGAGTATATACTAAAGCAGTAGTTTATGATCTTCTAAAGGAAATTAGAATTTTAAACAGTAGCACTACACTGTAATTACTGAAACAAACATCAATAGCATCACAAAATTAATCAATTGATGCTTATTATAGTACAATCAGTTTATACTTGATGAATTTGCAAGTTATTTCTCTTAACCTTATAATAATAAGTTTCAACTTTTATTGGATAAACAATTAGCCAAAAGCTGAGGTGCATGTTTAGATGCTATTCATACTTTAACTGTAATCTTTTCAGTCATATTTAATTTCTAGTCATGTATTTGTGTATAATTAACTATTCATATGTTCTTTTATTCGTATATTGGAAGTATCCGTTCCACAAAATATTTCTATTTCTTACATGGCTTTATGTGTAATTAGCAAATGTAATAGAAAAACCAAAGTCCAACCTCATGTCATCACACAAGGCTTTCCTCAACGTAGAAGCTGCTAAGAACATGCCTCTCTCTCACCCTCATTTCATTTGTACCATGAAACCATATTACCATACTACCTCATTTCATTTGAGATAGTCGCCAGTGGAGAAAAGCCTATATTGAAGTTTCATGACAACATTTTCGTCTAAGCCCTTCTCTTAAATTTCATCCAGTTTTCATTTTTTATCTATATCTTACTTTTTTTTGAGATGGGAATTTTTATCTATATCTTACTTTAGATCATAAATACAATTAAAGCTCCCGTTGTTACTGTTCTTATCTTCATATGTAGCTTCTATGGTTTGAATTTTAAAATACGGGATACAAATTTTGTTGGTGAACAGTAGTGTCCTGGTGAAATAGACCACACCATATCTGTTCATTTTTTAGTAATATATCTTTAATGTTTTCTCAAATATATCTTAAATGTAGTATTTTACTAAGGTATCTGCCAAAGATTTTCCACTTTCTTGAGAGCAACAGTTACTGAGAAATGTTTTTGAGTTTCGTAGAAGGCCTTTTGACCTATTTACAGCGGCTCTTCAAAAAGTTCTTTCTCAAGTTTTATGTTTGGCTTATTCAAGCACTTCATTCAGTAGCGCATACTATGAGATAGGATTTCCTAACAAAAAAGCTATATGTTTCTGAGAGTCGAATTAGCCCTTCTAAAATAACTTTCATCTCTCCTTTTCCCCTCAATTTATTTTCTTTCTTTATTGTGACTAAAGAAATTCTTTTCTGCTTGGTTTCAGATTCATATTCTGTTGCAATTCTAACATTGTTGATTGTTTGTGTCGATTTAAAAACTAGATCTGAGAAAAAATGCATCACTTCAGCCCGAGGGAAAGAATAATTCGGATATTGAAAGAGTTTCCACTCCAGGTCTGGATTTCACGAGCAAATCCTTCTTGTTGTATCTAATACGTTTTTTGCATTTCATTTCTAATACCCAGGCTAATAGTAATGGTAACTAGAGTCAACTCCTACCAGATGTGTGATAGTAGAACATAGCTAGTAAGGTCTTGTTTGAGCTTTCCCATAGATCTGATACACTACAGGTATTACATGATGAAAAATGTTGTGCTAAGATATGATTCACAATAACTAATTGAGAATTTGAGATAACTTACATGATTTTTTTTTCTTTTCAGGAAGGATGCATTACACAATGAATGCTTTATATAGTTAATTAACCGAATTGAGAAAATATTAGATTTTTTCACAAATAATAAGTATTTGAATATGAATAAAACCATGATCAGATAGTGCAAGATGGAATATGGGAAAAGTAGATTCATTGTCTTCATAGCTGAAAAGTAGTTTTACTATGCAAGAAATCTGCATACAGTAGGATAGATCTATAGCCTCCAAGACCGGTTCTATCATGTTGAGCTATTGATATGTTCTTCTGTTTGTATATCGTAAGTATTCTTTCCATATATATTTCTTACATGACTTTTTGTGTAATTAACAAATGTAACAGAAAAACCAAAGTCCAACATCATATCATCATGCAAGGCTGTTCCCAATGTAGAAGCTGCTAAGGACTTGCATCTTGGTCATCCTCATTTCATTTGTACCATGAAACCCTATAACCTTTCAAAGTGCTTTCTGGTAAGAACTCATCTCGTTATGAGAAAATTCAGAAAAAAACATAAGAACTGCTTATGTAAAACTGGTTATAAACTGTTCCAGCGTGTTCCTAGCCCATTCGCACGACAACATGGTCTCAGAGACAGGAAATGTACGATAATGATAAGAGATGAGCAAAGGTCATGGACATTTACGCTATATTCATGTGGCAAAGTCACCTACATTGGAGGTGGATGGCATGACTTCTGCATTGCAAATTGCTTAAAGGAAGGAGATCGAGTAATGTTTGGGATAGTTGCCAATGGAGAGAAGCCTATATTGAAGTTTCACGGTTAATAAGCCCTTCTCTTAAATTTAATCCAGTTCTCCAATTTTTTCTCTAGTTCGTTTTTTTTTGGGGGGNAATGGCATCATCTTTATGCGTAGCAAAAATAGACAAAAGAGTGACTGCTCACATACAAAAACTTACTGAATAACTAAGGAGCAAACACAATGTTCAATGCTAGTTACAGGAACTTGGTTGAACCAACTAAATAAATTGTTTAGACAAATTGCTTTAACAGAGTGATTAGGAGTTGAAATTCCATCTGTGATTCCTCTCATTCCAGATGCACGAAAAATAGTAGCTACCATTTGCCAAGTTTGTTTTGATGTTAGTAGTATATCTTTTATGTTTTCTCAAGTTATTATGAAGTCTTTCAAATGACCAATTCCATCAACTGATAATAAAATACAAATTCATCATTGATGTTTTTATTTATTAAAGAGTTTTAAATGTAGTAATTTTATTAAAGTATATTTAGAAGTATCTATGAAAGATTTTCCCCTTTCTTGAGAGTAACAGTTACTGAGAAATGTTTTTGAGTTTCGTAGCACGCCTTTTGAACTATTTACAGCAGTTTTCCAAAAAGTTCTTTCTCAAGTTTTATGTTAGGATTATTCAAGTACTTCACTGAGTAGCGCATACCATGAGATAAGATTTCCTAACAAAAAGGTTATATTTTTCTGAGGGTCGAATTAGCCCTTCTAAAATAACTTTCATCGCTCCTTTTCCCCTGAATTTATTTTCTTTATTTATTGTGTCTAAAGCAATTCTTTTCTACTTGGTTTAGATTCATATTCTGTTGCAATTCTAAAATTGTTGATTGTTTATGTCGATTTAAAAATAGATCTGAGAGAAAATGCATCATTCCAGCCCGAAGGAAAGAAGACTAATTCGGATACTGAAAGAGTTTCCACTCAAGGTCTGGATTTCACGAGCAAATCCTTGTTATATCTAACACGTTTTTTTCGTTTCATTTATAATACATAGGCTAATTGTAATGGTAACTAGAGTTAACTTCTAACAGATATGTGATAGTAGAACAGAGCTAGTAAGGTCTTGTTTGAGCTTTCCCATAGATCTATACACTACAGGTTAAAAACTTACATGGCTTTTTTCTTTTCAGGAAGGATGTATTACACTACGAATGCTGTATATAGTTGATTTACCAAATTGAGAAAATATTAGACTTTTTCACAAATAATTAACATTTGAATTTGAATAAAACCATGATCACGTAGTGCAAGAGAGAATATGGGGAAAGTAGATTCATCGTTTTCATAGCTGGAAAATTAGTTTTACTATGCAAGATATCTGCATACAGTAGGAAAAATCTATAGCCTCCAAGACAGATTCTATTATGTTGACCTATTGGTATGTTCTTTTGTTCGTATATCGTAAGTATTATTTCCATATATATTTCTTACATGATTTGTGCATTAATTAACAAATGTAACAGAAAAACCAAAGTCCAACATCATATCATCACGCAAGGCTGTTCCCAATGTAGAAGCTGCTAAGGATGTGCATCTTAGTCAACCTCATTTCATTAGTACCATGAAACCCTATTACCTTTCAAAGCGTTTTCTGGTAAGAACTCATCTGGTTATGAGAAAATTCAGAAAAAACATATGAACTGCTTATGTGATACTGGTTATACACTGTTCCAGCATGTTCCTAGCCCATTCGCGCGACAACATGGTCTTGGAGATGGGAGATGTACGATAATGATAAGCGACGAGCAAAGGTCATGGACATTTAATCTATATTCATGTGGCAGATTCACCTACATTGGAGGTGGATGGCGTGAGTTCTGCGTTGCTAATTATTTAAAAGAAGGAGATCGAGTAATGTTTGAGATAGTAGCCAATGGAGAGAAGCCTATATTGAAGTTTCACGGTTAATCTCTCATCTATGTCCTTCTCTTAAATTTAATCCAGTTCTCCAATTTTTTGTGTAGTTCTTTTTTTTTTTGATGAAGTAAGATAATTTCATTAAATGGCATCAAGAAGATGCATAGCAAAAATATATGGGCACATGTACCTCCACTTGATTGTAGTTGGTATTGGAGGAAATTGAATTCCCTAAAAGTTGAAATGATGGAGTGGTACCATAATGGGAAATATGTGTTAACTGCTTCAGGGAAGTATTCAATAAATGGTAGCTACATCGCTCTACAGGGGGATTTGACCAGACTACCCGTGGCAGAGCTAATATGGACATCTATTATGCAGCCGAAACACAGGATGATTCTTTGGTTAGCTGCTCATGGTCGATTGCTTACGAAAGATAGACTTTTGAAACTACATGTGCCAATACAAGACATTGAATGCTGCTTATGTAATGATATGGTTGCTGAAACCCAAGACCACATGTTTCAGGATTGTCGATGGACAACAGAATTGAGGGCTGCGATACAGAACTGCACAAATATGATAATACCACAAGGGACTGTAATGCAGGTGTTGGAAAAGATTAAAAGGAAGCACTGGAAGTTCTTCAAAAAGGAAATAGCTGCAGCAATTTGGGGGGCCCTGATCTATCACACCTGGAAAGCCAGGAATGAAAAAGTGTTTAAAGGACTCAATGTAAATACTAGCTTTGTGATGACACAGATACAAAAGGAATTTAGATATACACAGAAACTCTAGGAAAGCCAGAAGATGTGATTATTTGCTGCAGAAACTTTGTAATTAGTGAATAACTAAAGGCCTATGAGTACATTGCACCCTTCCTAGAAGGTGGTAGTGTGTCTAGGTGCTCTTTAGGATGTATTAATTTGGTTGTTAAATGGTAATATTTCACAGTTATTACCAAAAAAAAAAATACAATAGTGACTGCTCACATACAAAAACTTGCTGAATAACTAAGGAGCAGACACAATCCAAAGAAGTTCTGTTGAGTGCCAAAGTCCCACATCGGTGAAGGAGCATATTTGGTTGGGAATTTTTCCTTATAAAAGGAAGACCTAATGTTTAGGATTTATACACACCTATAAAAAGGATAGATCTTGCCATTGAAGAAAAGAAACCAGATGTTATTGGTGAAGAAGATTGGAAAATTATCAACCGTGTTGCTTGCGGTACCATTCGATCCTACCTTGCTAGAGAGCAGAAATATCCATACACAAAGGAAACTTCTGCAAGTAAATTATGGAAAGCACTGGAGGATAAATTTTTGAAGAAAAACAGTCAAAATAAATTGTACATGAAGAAGAGACTGTTTCACTTCACCTATGTTCCTGGTACCACAATGAATGAACATATCACCAGTTTCAATAAGTTGGTCACAAATTTGCAAAATATGGATGCAACTTTTAATGATGGTGACTTGGCCTTGATGTTGTTGGGGTCACTTCCTAATGAGTACGAACACTTTGAAATTACTCTACTCCATGGAAATGACGAAGTTTCTCTCAGAGAAGTTTGTTCGGAGTTGTACAACTATGAACAAAGAAAGGGAGAAAAACAAAAGGGCAGAGAAGGAGAAGCACTGGTTGTGAGGGGTCATCCTCAAAATCAAACGAGTACAAAGAAGGGAAGATCCAAGTCAAGATCTAGACCCAGCAAAGATGAATGTGCCTTTTGTCGAGAAAAGGGGCACTGGAAGAAAGACTGTCCGAAGTTGAAGAATAAGACCAAACATAATAATGGAAAGGCCATTATGGATTCAAATGTTGCTGATTGTGATGATTCAGACTTCTCATTAGTTACAACAGAGTCATCAACATCATCAGACATATGGTTGATGGACTCGGCTTGTAGCTATCATATGTGTCCCAACATGGGCTGGTTCGTACATTTTCAAGAAGGGGAATATGGAGTCATCCACACAACAGATAACAGCCCTCTAACCTCATATGGCATTGGTTCAATACGATTAAGGAACCATGATGGAATGATAAGAACATTAACAGATGTTCGATATGTACCGGGTTTGAAGAAGAATCTCATCTCTGTGGGAGCCCTAGAATCAAAAGGGTTCAAAATCATTGCAGAAAATGGAGTGATGAGAATATGCTCCGGTGCACTAGTGGTAATGAAGGTTAATCGGAAGAACAATAACATCTACCGCTATCGTGGTAGTACAGTTATTGGGACATCGACAGTGACATCCAGTGACGACAAAGAGGCAGAAGCAACCAGGCTATGACACATGCTGGAGGAAAATCCTTGAAAACTCTATCAGATCAAGGATTGTTAAAAGGGGTAAAGACTTGCAACTTGGAGTTTTGCAAGCATTGTGTCAAAGGAAAACAGACAAGAGTTAAATTTGGTACAGCGATCCCTAATACTAAAGGCATTTTGGATTATGTACACTCTGATGTTTGGGGTCCTTCCAAAACTCCTTCATTGGGTGGGAAGCACTATTTTATAACCTTTGTTGATGATTTTTCCCGAAGAGTGCGAGTGTATACAATGAAGAGGAAAGCTGAAGTGTTGGAAATTTTTCTCAAATGGAAGACGATGGTGGAGAATCAAACAGGCAGGAGGATCAAGTGTATTCGCACAGACAATGGAGGTGAATACAAAAAATGGCATTTCAATAAGGTCTGTGAAAATGATGACATCGTCCGACACTTCACTGTTAGACATATACCACAACAGAATGGAGTGGCAGAACGTATGAACCGGACCTTGCTGGAGAAGGTACGGTGTATGTTGTCCAATGCTGGCTTGGGCAAAGAATTTTGGGCTGAGGCAATTACATATGCATGCCACCTCATTAATCGTCTACCATCTGCTGCTATTGATGGCAANATCATGTGACAGAGTCAAAATTGGATCCAAGGGCAAAAAAGTCTATTTTTATAGGGATTACTTCTAGAGTCAAAGGATACCGCTTATGGTGTCCTATGACAAAGAAAGTAATATTTAGCAGAGATGTTACCTTCGATGAATCTGCTATGGTAAATAGGGTAACAAATGAAGATACCAAACAAGATGAGGGTGCTTCTAAGCAGGTGGAATTTGAGGGAAAATTTATTTTTCCTACACAAGAAGCAGAGGAGGAAACAAATGAAGATCATCCTCTGGAAGAAGAGCCAGTTGAGAGGGAGGTTCCAACTCAAGAACCTCAACAACTTGAGTCAATTGCAACAAGTAAACCTAAAAGGACAATAAAGAAACCTGTTCGTCTCATATAGACGGTGGCTTGTGCAGCCTCAATTGTAGCTGATGGTGTTCCTACAACTTATAAAGACGCAGTCCAAAGTTCAGAAGAAGATAAGTGGAGGATTGCCATGAATGATGAAATGCAGTCCCTTTATCAGAATCATACATGGAAATTGGCCAATCTCCCAAAGGGCAAGAAAGCAAATGGGTTTACGCAAAGAAGGAAGGATTTCCTAACTAAGTAGATGTTCGCTACAAAGCAAGATTGGTGGCCAAAAGATATGCTTAAAAGGAGGGAATTGATTACAATAAAGTATTTTCTCCGGTTGTAAAACATTCTTCCATTAGAATTATGCTGGCTTTGGTAGCATAGTTGGATTTGGAACTTGTTCAGATGGATGTAAAAATTGCGTTTTTACATGGAAACTTGTAGGAGGAAATCCATATGACTCAGCCAGAAGGATTCAAAGTTGCTGGAAAAGAAAATATGGTATGCAAAATTGAAAAATCGTTGTACGGATTGAAACAATTTTTTAGACAATGGTACAAGCGATTTGACAAGTTTATGTTGCGGCAATGGTACAAGAAAAACAAATACGATCATTGTGTGTATTTGCGCAAGCTTAAAGATGGTTCCTTTTACTTCTAAAAAAAAAGATGGTTCCTTTGTATATCTTCTCATATATGTTGATGATATGTTGATAGCTTCCAAGAATTCAGAAGAAATTGACAAGTTGAAGATTCAACTAAAGAAGGAGTTCGAGATGAAGGATCTGGGTGAGACAAAGAAAATTCTTGGCATGGAGATAATAAGAGATAAACGTTCAAAGAAACTCTGTTTATTTTAGAAAGAATATTTGAAGAGCGTACTACAACGTTTTGGCATAAGATGAGAAGACTAAGCCAGTTAGTACTCCACTTGCTCCCCATTTTAAGCTAAGTACTACTATGTCGCCAAAAGATTAAGCTGAACGGGAGAATATGTCAAGGGTACCATTCGCAAATGCTGTCGGTAGCTTGATGTATGCAATGGTCTGTACGAGACCTGACATTTCACTAGCTGTTGGAGTTATTAGCATATATATGCATAATCCAGGAAAGGAGCATTGACAAACTGTGAAATGGATTCTACGGTATATTCATAATATTGTAGATGTTAGGTTAGTTTTTGAGTAGGAAGGCAATCCGTCTGTAGTTGGATATTGTGACTCAGATTTTGCGGGTGATCTGGACAATCGAAGATCAACTACTGGTTATGTGTTTACTTTTGCGAAGGCACCAGTTAGTTGGAAGTTTACTTTGCAGTCAACAGTTGCTTTGTCTACAACAGAGGCAGAGTACATGACTATTACAGAGGCTGTGAAGGAGGCAATTTGGCTTCAGGAGTTGCTAAAAGAGCTTGGTATTGGACAAAAAAGTATCACAATTTTTTGTGATAGTCAAAGTGCTATTCAATTAGCGAAGAACCAAGTTTATCATGCAAGGACGAAGCACATTGATGTTCAGTATCATTTCGTACGAGAAATTATAGAAGAAGGTGGAGTCACAGTGAAGAAAATTCATACTACAGGGAATCCGGCTGATATGCTAACAAAAGTGGCGATTGCGGTCAAGTTTCAACATTGTTTGGATTTGATCAACATTGTTGAACACTGAAGATTGAAGATGAAGACAACCAAAATTTGTTATTGAGAGAAAATTGAAGATGTGGAATTTTGCCAAGGTGGAGATTTGTTGAGTGCCAAAGTCCCACATTGGTGAAGGAGCATATTGGTTGGGAATTTTTCTCTATAAAAGGAGGCCTAATGTTTAGGATTTATACACACCTCTCATTTGCTTTCATATTTTCTTAAGGCATTTGTATCTTCTCTCTTTAGTATTATTTCACTTGTAATTTTGGAGTGGAATAAAATATTGGTTGTGTCCGAGGAAGTAGGCAAAATTAGCCGAACCTCGTAAATTCTGGTGTTCCCTTTATTNTGGTGAAGGAGCATATTGGTTGGGAATTTTTCTCTATAAAAGGAGGCCTAATGTTTAGGATTTATACACACCTCTCATTTGCTTTCATATTTTCTTAAGGCATTTGTATCTTCTCTCTTTAGTATTATTTCACTTGTAATTTTGGAGTGGAATAAAATATTGGTTGTGTCCGAGGAAGTAGGCAAAATTAGCCGAACCTCGTAAATTCTGGTGTTCCTTTTATTGTTGTCTTATTGTCTTATTTATTATTTAGTGGCTGCCATAATTTTTGGTATAGTAGTTGTGACTCATTCACACTATATACATTTGGCTTCCGCAACAAGTTCAAAAGGCACCAGCTCTCATAAGCATCCTTGATACCGTAAGGCATGACTAACGCACGTCCAGAAATTGGTAAAAACATATTCCAAATGTCAGCTGCTAGTGTACGTCTATTTCTTTCTTTAAATCATAAATACAATGACATAATTATTAACTTATAAGGTCCTTCTCTAGTTATTAAAGCTTATCTTTGCAACTGTTTTTATCTTCATCTGTAGTTTCTATGGACTGAATTCTAAAACACTAGACACAATTTTTTAGTAAAAGAGAGGACGGCATTTTCGCTCAATTATTGGTAGCATATCTTTTATGTTTTCTCAAGTTTTATGAGTTCTTAAAAAATTCCATCAACTGAGAATGAAATCTGGAGCTACTTATGGTCAAGTTAGGCATTGGCTACAGTTGACCTTTTTCAGGTCCTTGAAAGAAGCCCTATAATTCTGGGAGTTGAATAAGCCCTTCCTAATTTCTTTTCATCTCTTCTTTTCTGCTAAAAAATTATTTTCAATCTTTAATGTGATAAAAACATTTCTTTCCAAATTCTTTTTTTGTTTTAGTTTTGTTTCTTATATTGTTGTGTCTTTCAAAACTAGATCTGAGAGGAAATGCATCACTTCAGCCCGAAGGAAAGAAGATCAATTTGGATGCTAAAAATGTTTCCACTCAAGGTCTGGATTTCAAGAGCAAACCCTTGTTGCTGTATTCATACATTTTTTCCTTTCATTTCTCTGATTCTGTCTTTCTTTCATGTACTTTTAAAAGGAATAACAGACCTTACGATTCAGACCTCAAATGTGACTGCTCGAAAAGCACAAGTACCTGCTTCAACATCTGTTGACAATGCTAATACTAAAACGACATTGGTCTATACAATGTGATAAACTTGAGCTGTATCTTCCATTGGCTTTTGTAAAATCAAATGGCTTGATGAATAGATGTTGTGAGATGATTCTCAAAGTTCAACTAGGGCGAATGGCAGATCACGTTGGGGTTAACAGGGGATGGCAACAGTTCAGAGAAGCAATTGATGTCCAAGTAGGAGATACTTATAAGTTTGAACTCATCAACAAAGAAAGAGTACCCGTAGCGTATTTCCATTGTGAGTATTCCTTTGCTTCCCTATATTTTCATGATAAAAACTTATTTGCACAAAGTGTTTCACCAAACCAAAAAATGCATGACAAGTCCCTTTCATACATGCAATTATCATTTAATCATGGTTAAGTGATATGTATTCTCACTTTATTTTTCAATTGCTTAGGTAAAATATCTTGATTTGTTTAAAAACTGGATGCAGGTAAGTATTACTTATTTTCATGATCTTCCATACATGCTTTTGTTTTTCTTCTTTCCCGTCAGGCTATTACAATGGAGAGAACGGAATCATGAACAAGTTTTCTATGTTAGTGATTTGAAAATATTATGCCACGCTTTGAAAGAATTAATCCCCGTAAATTGTATTTTCTGTTGAAATAGTATTTTGGCTTATTTCAATGATCCTCGCTACAGAAGATTATTTTTTGTGTTAAAAGGATCTCGAAAGGTTTTAAATAATATGGATGTAGGTTTTTTAGCTTTTAGCCAAGGGTGTAACGGAAACAACCTCTCTACCTGCACAAGGCTAGGGGTAAGTTTGCATACTCACTACCTCCCCGATTCCACTTGTGGGATTACATTGGGTACGTTGTTGTTGTTGGATATATTGCTTTAAAAATCAAATTATTTGCACTATATGGCCTTTTTTGAGGCCACTCTTTAAATACTACCCGTTAGTCTAGTGGCGTCAAAAAGGCAATTTGTGCAGATGCCGACTAAATCCACCCTCACCCCGCCCCCAAAGAAAATCTAGCTTAGGGTATTAGACTTTTATTATTATTTTGTGGTGTCTACAAAATTTTGTTTCATTGCGAAGAGAGTATGTTATGTTAAAAGAGAATTTTCAGGTAAATATTCTGGGAAGGATGCCAAGCAAAGCCCTTGACAAGTTAGTGAAGCAGTTGGTGATGGGCAAGGAAAGGAAAACTGAAGAATATGATGTTCTTGGATTTACTACATGTTGCCTAATTTCAACAGAAGATATACCTTTGGTTTTTTTGTTCTTCAAAAGCCAAACCTTTTTTTTATATGCTGTATTATATTTGCTTCAGTTGCCTCATTTGATTTGACATGTACATGTTTCTTCAAAATTGTAGTTGTATTCAATGATCGTGTAGTTGTCTTGTAATTTAACCGATTTTAATATGTTACTTGCATACTTTTTTGGGGTATAATCACTTTTGGCCCGTGCCAGAAACTATTTACATTTGGTAGTTGAAAAAGTGTATAAAATTTGTATAATTTTTTTATGTAACATACAAAATGTGTTTATATACAAAAAATATACAAATTTTATATATTTTTCAGCTACTACAGTGTCATTTTCCTTACTTTTTTTTTTTTGAGATATCAGCTACCTTTGGTATAAACACTTATTATAGTTGACTTAAAAATGACTTAGTTTGATAGATGTTTTTGTACATTTTAATAAGAAGCTAGATTATGTCTTACCTTAGGAGTGACAATTACATTTTGACAAAATAAATTCAATGTGATTTGTTTTTTGACTTGTAAAGTAAAATACAGTCAAGCATTTTAGTAAAAATGCAAAAAATTCATTGTCATTTCATAAATGAGCTCAATCTTATTTTACTTCTGCTTCAGTCACCCTTCATTTGATCACATGACATGCACATTATTTTTCAAGATTTTAGTTGTATTCAATGATCATGTAGTTGTAATTTGACCCTTTTAACAGGTTCGTTGCATACTTACATATACTTCCATATTTTTCAAAAGACAAATTGAGGATTTGAAATTTATTTGCAACATTCAAATTAATATATAATAATAATTGAGTTCACTAACATATATTTATCGATATTTAGTAGTTTTTTAATACATATATAAAATTTGGACAAAAGTTATTAAATTCACGCGAACCTATAAATTAAGGGTGAAATTCAAAAATAGCTAGATTTACAAGTGGTAATTGAAAAATAGCTACAGTTTCAAAAGTAATCGAAATTTAACCACTTTTCATGTAGAAATAAATCTGAACGAAAACACTGTTCAAAACCCGAAAAATATTCCAGCATAATATACTGGAGTTCCAGCATTGTATACTGGACTTCCAGCATAATATACTGAAGTTCCAACATAATATACTGGTCCAACATAATATGTTGGACGTTCAGACATAAATACTCCAATCTCAAGTGTTACACCCCAAGTTTTCATACGTAAGAGTACGTCGTAAGTCATTGATGTAAGCTCGGAAATGAGATTCTATTTGGAAGCAAATAAAGTAAGTTAATCATGTTACCTTGGAGGTTACAAATATTTAAGATCATGAATAACGAGTACCAAGAGGATTGGAAATCTTAGAAGCTAAACCAATTGAAGAAAATAAGTTTCGTCGAAAGTCGACAAGTTTCGAATGTTATAACATGTACTTTGGGGTGAGACTAGGGTTATTAACATGATAAGAAGGTTATTCTATGAGTTATTTTAGTCGTATGATATTCATTTTCTACATTTTGAAGGCAAGCAAGTTGTGGAACAAGAGTTGGCAAAGGTCATCACAAGTTACATTCATAAATTTGCTGAAATTTAGGTCAAATGTATCTGAGAATTTCTCCAAATATACTTGGAAT